CTCCGCACCTGCGCATGGCACTCCGCCGTGGCTCCCGAGCTGCCCGCCGGAGCCCAGCAGCGGCCGCAACGCGTGGATGAGTGGCACCACGGCGTCATCTACAGCAGTCGCCGCAACCTCCGCCATCGGCCTACAGATGTTAGGCTCCCACGCGCTGCAGGAGGCCACTGCGGCCACGAGAGCCACGGCAACGAGGATGGGCATCCTTGCCATCGCCATTGTTCGTGTGTGCTAGTGCTAGCTCTGTGGTGCTCTGCTTATTGCAGTGTCGTGCAAAGAGTATGTGGTGGGCCGTTCGTCAAATAGTAGAGTACATGTGTTTTCGTTATTCACGTGTCTCGAGTACATAGTGCAAAATCTGTTTCTGGTCCATCCATTATCTTTTTGTAAAGAAGCAATCACTGTCTGTAATGTGCTTGTTTTTTTCAACAATATTTGGTGCCACATAGTGGGAAGGCTAGCTATAGATGGATGATTTTGTACCACTGGAAATGTCAAGCCAAAATCTGTTTACTTTGGCTTAAAGACAGAACTTGTTCTGTCTAGAGGAACTGAAGCTGAGAGATATAATAAGTCCAGATACACATGACAAGATATGGTTGCCTCCCCTCACACTTCACCAACACCAGGTTCTACCTTTTTCGGACTCAAATTTGTTAAACTAGACTAGATGACCCGCTGCGCCAATGGCGCAAAGGCCGAGAGCGAACCAAGTTTTCAAACCTTGCAAGTTACTCCCTCCGTTCCATAATAAATGACCCAACTTTGTACTAACGTTAGTACAAAGTTAAGTCATCTATTTTGAAACGGAGGGAGTAGAATATTTATTATTTAGAGACCAACGCCTACTTATATTGCCTTGTGAATGTTACTATACTATGGAATTAGGAGTGATAACATGGTGTATTCTTCGATAGCTATTTCCCCCATTCCCTCCTATTTATAAAACTGTAATACTTAAAAAAATACATTGGCTAACAGATCACACTTCTACACAAACAAGTAAATGCATAAGATGTTTATATCAGGGAATAACCTTTGCAAAGTTAAGTAAAAGGTTTCATATGAGATATATTGATAAGCGGTAGCATATGACTAATAAGCATGTGATGTGTTCCACTATTTAGTTTCAAGCACAAGAAGTTCCAGATACCTATCAATTTCATATAAGCACTTTATAATAGAATTTTGGACGGTCTCAAAAAATGTGCACCACTAATTAACACATGCAACCATTGTTACATAGCGAAAGCAAAGCTTCAATTACTTTCAGTAGCTTGAAACTCAGAAAGCATAATTTGTTCTCAGTCCTGTACAAGACTCGTTTAAACCCTCCGTGCATTCAATTTTGGAACCTTCTAGTAGAAACTGAAACATCACTGTGCACAGAGGTTATTGTTCTACT